CGGTGGTGGCGTGTACACAATTGAATCCTGATTTCAACATGTTAAGATGAATTCCGAGTTGAGCAGAGTGAGCACGGGTACGTCTCATATATTTTGGGCGCGAACAAATTCATATTGGTAGACTTTGAATCGGCTCTTTCTGTTATTCAGGGACGGAATCAGCTCTGAAACCTACATGGTAGCCAGATGGCGGAGTATGTAGCCGAAGAAAGCATACAGTTTCCTGCATACAAGAATATACACTGACCGTGCGGACGAGACACGGATTCCTAACGAGAGGGATGTCGCGAAATATTACCAAATGTCCGAGAACGACGGTCTTGTCTCCAAATTTGTTCAACTTGACCTTGCCGAGCACTGCCACATTGAATTAAAAACAGGCGGTTTGGGCTCCAACATACTGTACATATCTGTAGGGGAGCAACACCCCGAGGACCGTGACATGTCTGTTGCCTCTTTTTCAGGCAACGGGCACCACCGTGATCATGACCGTTGTTCAAGAGGCAATAACTAGTATTTTTTTTCTTACGATTATCGGCCTTCATGGGGGATCAGAACAGATATCTGCTACTGCACCCTCCAGATTAGAAGGTTCCTTTGTATCCAGCACAGTTTCTCAGCTCTGAAGAAAATTTCAGGATTTTTTTTGGGCATGTCACGATTTTTTGAAGCAACCGAGCTCATCGTGACAGTGACTGGAAGAAAAAAAAGGCAACGCAACGGACCCACCGTGACCGTGATGGTTGCTCCCCTACGGGTATGTCTAGTATAAAAACTGGTTTATAAACACCTGTTTATAAACATGTTTACAAACGGGCATTACAAACAGAGCCCTATTTTGGGGTTCCGGCAAGCGGCCAAAGCTTACGCAAATAGGCGACCATATGCATCCATCAATCGATTCTTGTCACCTCCCGTCATGTCCCATTTGCCACAGGAGCTGGTAGATGCCATCGTCGACTGCATGGACTCGGAATCTCACAAATCATGTTCTTCTGTCTCAACAGCATTCCTTGCTCCCTGCAGGCGACATATCTTTCGTTCTATCTATCTCTCTGAGGATAGCAGCTTTTCCACTCTCTCCATCCGACGGGTACATTCTGGTCTTGTGCGAGCGCCACATATCGCACCCTATATCCGAAATGTGTGGGTATGGTTCCGCACACTCAGCCTGTCCGACCCGCATCCACATTTTGAAGCGATTCTGCCATCGCTCACTCACATCGAATCCCTGGATCTGCGCGGTCCGGGCGTGGTCACGGATGTAACCCTACAACTATCAGGCACTTTGCTCGTTGCTGTATCGAATCTCCTCGCGAAGCCCAGTTTTGATCATCTCTATCTAATGTATCTCACTGCCCCAGCTGCGTTCATGACACGCGCCATCTCCTGTATGCGCACCCTTCTCCTTGCAGACGTCTCCATCACAGGCACGGGTGGGCTGGACATAGACCCACCGCACCTCGAGCGCCTCATACTCCCGGCCTCCCGCGATCTTCCGCCCAGTATCCACGGCGCGCTCGACTTTCTTATCCGCGGAAAACACCTCTTCCGCCTCCGGCGCCTCGCTCTCGGCATGACGTTTGACCCATCCGGACAATCGTGCCGCCTCCTGGAGCATACTTCGCGCACATTGGAATACCTTGAAATAAGCTACGGCCGTATGTATTCTCCTGTCCATCCATCCCTGCGCTTACTTTTTTCGTTTCTTCCTTCCTTGTTCTTGCTCTTTTCTCCTGCGCAGATTGCACCCCACCGCGCCCCAGAGCCGGCCTCGTCTTCCCGTCCCTCCTTGCGCTGCATACCCTCGAGCTGCGCCTCTTCTTCACCCGGCGAAGTCCGATCCCGTCCGACCTCTATCTCACCGTCGCTGCCCTCCCTGCGAGCGCGCCCCACCTCCACACCCTCCAATTCATCTTCGCCGTCGCCACACAGAACCCCCGACGGTCGAGCGACCATTCGCGCTGTTTGACGTGTCAGGGGCATATCGTACAGCCCTCCCACGCCTGCGCTGTGTGCATTTCCGGCTCCTCTTTCCGAGTCACGAAACACAGATGCGGGCGTTCACGGTGGAGGCAACTTTCCGTGAGTTTGTGACAGCCATGGAGGCGCAGCTGCCGGCGCTGCGGGGGACGTCCATGCTGGAGTTTGAGTCGGGGGCGATGTAAACGGTGGCAGAATGGCGTGCGGTCTTGATGTATTGTTTCGTTGTGAGTCCGTGATATCTTTATTGTATGTCCCAAAACTGAGATTTGTCACTGAAGATGGCAGTCGTCTGAATCTGTGCGGAAATGCTGCCCCATCTATTTTCGTCGTTGTTGATTATGAATACACCGATTCGACGAAGTTCCCTTCTCCCGCCTGGTCCGGGCAGTGCCTCGGGTTCTAATCAAAGTTATACGGTAAACCCAGCCTCAAGAGATCTTTACCTTACAGAAATCGCCTCTGGTCTGAAATAAATAACGTGCAAAAAGTGGGCAAGTGTCGAAGACAAAGAGGCGTATATTTTAAAACACGAATTAATTCATGATCAATTGTCATTGTATTGTAGGTAGTGTGGGACATGGAAAGAGAAACCCAGCGAAAATCCAAGGAAATTCGAGGTCGGGGAGTACTAGGAGACTGATTCTTACAAGAGAGGTGAATGAATGCCTCTTCGATCGTGGCAACGTAGTCCCGTGTGGTACAGAAAAACAGAATGATTTTGAAGAGAGGTGGTCTTTCAGCTGCAGCTATGTATGTACCTCGGATAATCGTGAGCGAAAGAGACGAGAGTTTAGGGAACCACTTTAAGTTGTCGTGAGCGAAGATGCGTGGTGAAAGCCGTGCAACCTGGCGTGGCGTCAGATCCGACACGATGTAGCTGAGCCTGTCGTGGAATTCCCACAGGATGTCGAAAAAAGGTGTGTTATCATCCCGGCGGAAAGCCGAAACCGGTCTCAACTAGTACTGTCAAAGATTGACAGCGAAAGCGGAAGCTTTCGAGACCTCGCCAGAAGGTCCCGAACGAAAGAAACTGAGTCGATGATGACAGCGAATGTATACGGGAAGATAGCCGATTGGCGGGAGGGATCTCATCGCAAGGCTTGCCGCTCATACGAATCTGCATCATTGACTCTCAGTGAGTCGTTGTTTCTATCTACGAATCCTCTGATATAACAGAGGCAACAGCGGAACTCAGCAAGCCGATCTTCACCGTCCGTGAGCGCGCCTTCATTCGTGCACTACTATACCATGATTATACAATGCACGCTTCTTCCATCTGCAAAAAACAGGTCGAGTTCATGGCCGCACACCCCACATGCGATCTCCGGATTACGCTCTTCGACTATTGCGCAGGGCACCTCCAAATCGAGGTCCACTCAGCAGCCCATTCGCCGCTGTCTACCGTTCTTCAGGAAGCGGGTGAAGAGTGGACAGATTTCATTGCGCGCGCGGTACGGAGCGAAGGACGATTTCAGTTGCACGTCATGCGGGTGCTGGATGGCACCGCTACGCCACATTGGGTTATTCCTCTCCGATGCAGCGGCTCATACATGTTTGACCACTTGCGAGATCTAGCGCAACAGCCCATCAATGAAGGAATCATGGACGAAATTTCAGACCTCCTCGAGGAAGACCAAGATGTCGTAGTGATTCACTAGTCACTTATCGCACTCTCCCTTCTGTAAACAAATAATATTTATTTGTCATTGCTGGTTTCCTTATAACTTTATCGTGGCTCAGGCAATGAAAATCGAGATTCGTGCCAAGGCATTCTCACCTAATGAAACGAACAGCTTCAAAAGGAACCTTCGCGTTCCGCAACCTGAGACCTGAGATTTAAGGCAAACCCATCCATACATACAAGCGCTCGCTGAGAATAAAGTGGCCTCGGAGCGCGGAGTCGGAGTCGCTGTCGGAATCGCAGTCGAGGAGCCCACACTCAACTAACTCCGCCAAAAACGGCGATTCAGCGCTGGCTGGACTCGGTGGAATTGCGAGCCTGAATCGTTGGCCAAGACGAACTCATAAAGTAACGTGTTGATCCTGAAACCAAAGAGACGAGGGACCGGACCTGAACAGGCAAAATTGACGTACTCCTCGGGATGCGTGGGATTGCCGAAATGTGGAGCACCATCGACGAGGCGGAGTTTCGCATGCAACTCTAGGACCTCTTCAGCGTCGCTTAGCGGGTACACAATATCGTCGGAGCAGTGGACGAGGGCGATTGGACCGCGGATTCGCGACAGCATCGAGATGGAAGGGGGAATGCGGTTCACGATGAATTTCATCGCGACAGCACGTAAGACGCCGAGATGATGAAAGGCGTGGATAGAAAAAAAAATAGGTGTGAGAGGGCTTCAAACCATACATGGAGAGGTGTACCGTACACGACGTCCGAGTTCAGCTTGGAAGACTGAGATGGTTTTGAAGTGTTTAGAGAATAAAAAGCTTGTTTGGATGCTACTCATTCAGATACGAAGAGTCGAACCTCGGACTGCCTCTGATTACTCCGCGCGCGTAATTAAATTAAAGAGGCTGTGTTCCATGCATCATGTCCGAGCTGTTCCTATGCCTGTGAGGTTCAATAAATACGCCTCTTCTGGACGGCGTGAAAGCAAAAACTATATGTGCTCTTTGGTCCGGCCGACGAATAAAAAGCTGCTGGGAATTCCTTCATTCGGACACGGGGAGTCGAACCCCGGGCTGGCTCCGTCCAAGCTTGAGAGTCAAGACCAAGGAAGAGAGACAGTGTCATACATCACGTCCGAGTACTTTCTATGCCTGTGAGGCTCGATACAGTAGCATATCTATTGAAAAGAAAAACGGGACGCGGGGAGTCGAACCCCGGACTGCCTCCGACTAACTATCGACGATCTCTCACAAGAAAAGAGGCCGTGCATTACGTCCGAATTTTTTGTATGGCTTACGCCCCTTTTGAACTGCCTGAACAAAAACAAAAAGTATACTTGCTCTTTGGTCCGGCCGGCGAATAAAAAGCTGATGAGAATTCCTTATTCGGACGCGGGGATTCGAACCCCGAGCTGCCTCCGATCAATTTCTAGTCATGGACTAATGAAAGGGGCGGTGTTCCGTGCACCACGTCCGAGTTCTTTCTATGCCTGCGAGGCTCAGTAAATCAGCATCCTTTGAAAAAAGAGAACGGATGCGGGGTGAGTCAAGGAGAGGGTAAACCAAGGTGCGCCTCCTTATATCTCTCTCTTTAGAGTGTATCAGCACTCGCGATTTTTTGAGAATTCTGCAATCCGATTGGTTGCTCCACAGCTCCAAGCCAATCAGAACGTCAAGAAATTTGGATTTTTTGAGTGCTGATACACTCTTTTATAAAATTGTTTGTGTCTGTCTGAAGCCTTTTAAGCTCTGCGTTTGGCTCATCAGTACCGACACTTTGGTTAAATCAGCACCGAGATTTTGGAATATCAGCCTTGAGCTCATGAAGTTCGGTAATTGGCGATACCGACATGTCGGCGGCGACATCATCGGAATTACAAAAGTCACTTTATTTTGCTATGCGGAAATTTGCTGCAAGCTCAATATGAGTTTCACCAAACCTTCACTATCCACTCAAGAAGAATCCACACTCGAGATATAAGTCAAGGCGACATGGGCCCACATATCCGACTCTGCGCCGATTTCACCGGCGTCTCTTATGCCGCCGCTACTGCTAATCCTCAGTAGAATCAGAAGGATGAAGAGGGACCGCAGAGCGGTCCCTCGCCGCTTGTTATTAATAACATTGTGAGCTTGGAAGAGCGATTTCTGACGCGGACGGGGCAAAAGAAGAAAAAAAACTCGATATGGGTCCATTCGGGCGCGGGGATTCGAACCCCGGGCTGTCTCTGATTACTACGATAGTACTGCATACCATAAATTAAAGAGACCGTGTTCCTTACACCACGTCCGAGTTCTTTTTATGCCTGCGAGTTCCAATAAGCACGCATCTTTTGAAGAAGAGAACAACGTCCGAGTCATCTCCACTACTGCGAACGTGGATCAAGGGGTACATTTTCAGTCTTCAGCGGGATACGGTAAAAAGCTATGTTCGAATCTATCTATCTATTCGGACGCGGGGGCTCGAACCCCGATCTGCCTCAAGACATTATCCCCAGTGAATATCCCTTATGCCGGGGTCTGCCCAGATCCGCTCTAATCTGCCCACCCAAAGTGTGGCAGACGAGGGCAGATCTGGGCAGAGAAATGAGCCTATGGCAGATGAGCTTTTAGGCTCAATCTGCCGCAGACTGCTCAGATCTGCCCGAACTATGCTCATATCTGCCGCCGTCTGCCTATATATGCCCCGCCAGCTTCTCGCTCCAGTTCTTCATATTACTTGCAAATCCATATTATTCAATAGATACGACAGAACACCAGTAAACTACAAGTCCGAACGTGCCTCCATTCCCAATAAGTGCGTCGACTGGGGCCAGCAGAGGTGGTTTGCAATACTAGAAGGGTGCAAGTGAGATCGGGTAAAATAAATGACTTCATGACACTCACCGGCGTTTCCGAGTCCATGCAGCGCAACGCCCGACGTGGGAGAGGAGCCGAGATAAGTGAGTTTCGACGTCGAGGAGGCTGTACCAATTGCGAGAGGAAGCATCATTAGCGGGCGCGTTCGACAGGCGCTAGATGTGTCGTGGTTCCCAAATTAGTGCAATGAAACCGCTGGGGCAAAACAATACGCACTAGAACAGAGGAAGTGCGGGCAGTCGAACAATTGAAAGCGCTAGAAATACTCCTCGTGAGCGAGGTTGGTTGGATAAAATGAGGTACGTACTTACGTGGACGGGAGTCCTTTCTCCGAAGACCTGCGTGCCATGTCAGATAGTAGTGGGAACAACGGTAATGGCTTACCAAGGCATCGCGGACGCATGCGCTGGCGGGAGTAGGTGACCTGCACGCAATGTCAGACAGTATCGGAGACGACGATGCTTGCTTACCGAGGAATCGAAGATACATGGCCCAGCGGACTCGGGCGAGGACACTATTTCTGCGTGCGATGTCAGACAGTAGTGGAGACGACACTAATGGCTCACCAAGCCACTTTGTACGCTTGCGTTGGCGGCAGGAGGTCCTGTATGCAATGTCAGACGGTATCGGAGACTACGACGCTTGCTAACCAGACAATCGAAGATGCGTGGGCTAGCGGGGAGTCGGGCGAGGACGATAGGGTCGGTGGAATCTGGGGGTGGAATCTGAGGTGATCAGTACTTCGGTAGCTTCAGCGGTTTGCGAGGGTGAGTACGAAAAAGTACCGGAGGAGATTAGGAGCGTGGGGCACTACAGGTACTCAGATCTATGGAAATCGGTGGAAAGATCGAGCATGGGGGCGGCTCACCATGGGTATAGAACTGGACATGAAAGTCCGAGGCATCCGTTAGTCTTCGGAATGGGGAAATCAGTAGGCGGAGCCATGTACCGAAACTGGAAAGCTGCACGTACGTAAATCTCGATTCTTGGGGCCCGAGGCCAGAGCACCTTAGAGCAACTTGTACGCTATGACGATGGGGAATCGTCGGCAGAGCATCAAGCAACGGGAGGGCGTAAGAATCCTCAAAACCGGCGGGTGTGGTGCCACTTACTGGTTTCGCGTTCGCGGAGCCTGTTGAATGCCTTCTTCATAAGGCTAGGTGGGCGGCGAGATGAACGAAAAAGAGAGGGCCAGAGGAAAGACTGCTGGTCGAAGGTGGTGGTTGGAGCCAGAGTGAAGTGCGGGACCTGTTGTCAGCGGCCCTCCTGAATTAACACAACCAAACAAAAGTCGACGTGCGGTAAAGTCCCGGGAGCCCTCGTATGGTTGGACACTCTGCCGTTTGTATTCATGGGCTCCAAATGGCACATATAATGAGACCCGTCTTGGCTGATTTTCCCAGATTTATTGTAAGTCTCCCCCATGGACAAGCCATCGGCCCATCCGAGTCATTCAAATGTCTGCGAAATACTAAGATGCTTCTCGTTCCCAAACCTGCCGATATAAATTCCCCCAATAATAGTAGTTATTTAATCTTCCCTTCTTTCCTTAAGATATGAAGTATCCTCGGAAGCCTAGCCAGATCACCAACCAGTTCGGACAGTCGGAATTGATGAAACAATTCTGTTCTGTAGTGATACATACATTGTGGAAGCCTGAGGAAGGTTGTACAGTAGTATCCTGGCGCCCGTGCTGGATCATCTAAGTTGCGGATCCCGATCCCGCTGTCGTTCCCGTAAGTTCCACATCCTTCGCGTTCTTCGTCGTCTTCTTCAACTCGATAACTGCATCCTTATATTTCTGCCAGACCGCCTGAGTTTCAGCGATGCTGCATCATAATCTGTACAATGCTTACCTTTTGGCCTTCTGGCCCGAGAGAATTGTACACGGCTTTGACTTGTTCAGATGTATGCTTCTTATTCATGTCGATAGCCATATGTTCGCGCCCAAAGATATTCTTGTACAAAATTAGTAGCGCACTAGAGTCAGCTGATTTTATACCACGCGGTATCGGCTTCCTGGCTTGTGGGACTTTTTCGGAGCCGTAGGCAGAGGCGTTGGCGCGACGTTTGTCGAAGACGGGGGTGTAGTCGAAGACGCGACAGCTGGGGCTACGGAATTGGTACCAGGGGATACCAGGGAAGCTGCCGTCGCCGTAGAACTGGACCCAGCGGCTGCTAAGATGACCATCAATGATATTCGCAGAAGATGGCTGAAGTTATTATACCTGTGTCGTTTATAACACGCCACTGAGATTTTGGTGCTGTATTTTTCGCCCCAAATACTCCGCCGCTGGAAACGGTTAGTTCTCGGTATTTGAATGCAGGAACGTAGGGGATACTTACAGTGGATTGTTGACGTTGATTTTGATCGAAACTGCAGTGGTATTAGCATCAGACGGCGGGGCTGTACTCCCTCCGTCTTTGGCGCCTGGTACGATTACCGTTGGGACTTCTGTGTGTGTCGGAGGAGGAAGGGGTGGAGCTAGCGTTGAATTCGGGGTATCAGATTGTAGGTCGGCGAGGGGACTACTGGCGCCCGAGGCGGTCGGATTGGCACCGGGATCAGGCGGTGATGTAGGGGCCACAGATGGCTCAGCGGTAAGCGTGGGCGGGGGCGAGAGGCGAGAGCTTGACGCAATGGCATTGCCGGTGATCTTGCGGTTCTTTTTCTTTTTCTTGCTAGCCTGGTCCGTCGGTGCGGTTCGTCCGGAGCGGTCTTGTTTAGAACGCTTCGAGGATGAGGAATCTGTTGGGGTCGGGTCGGACTGCTGTTTGCGCTTTTGGCCTTGAGCTACTTCGGTGATCTTCGAGGATATCTCGTCAGTGCGCCGTCGATTCCATTGCGAGTAAACCTCCGTCGCCAAAACATCGACTTTCCAATTATTGGCGCACAGGCCAAGATCAGGGCAATAGGACAACATCTCAGTGCGAAAGAAATTTGTTGCGGTAGAGGACGCCTGTGACCATGTAAGTGGTGCCCAACCCTTTGCTAACACAGTGGAAAATGCTTCGCGAGCGTGTTTTCGCGTATCTTGGATCTCTGCGCTTGTGAACGGAGTGCCGTCTTCGTGCTCTAAAAATCGGAGCTTGGAGGTTTTATCCTCGGAGATGGTTGCCAAGTCGGAGGGTTTGTAGTCCTCCCGTTCAAAATACAAGATGTTCGGAAGATCCTTCTTTGAGCGACGAGTGGTCGGGAGAGGCTGGTTGAAAGAAGAAGGGCCAGAGTCTGAAGCCGAAGACGGCGGGACAACGATTTGCATTGGATTGGGAATATAGTGGAACATTTGTGGGACGGATGTCGCCAGCAAGAAGTACGCCTTTCTTCAAATAGTCGTTAGTACACTGGGAAAATGTGTCTAATGGCAGGGAGAACAAACTCAAGTGTCTCATATTTTGTATTCATCTCAGAATAACCGGTGAAAAGCTTCTGATATGTTGCGCTATGTTTCATGAGACATTGGTGGTCCGCAGATTGGAGGATAGAGAGTTGATTCTGGATTCATGAGTCATATTCTGGAACATCTGATGCCACTTACTTGGTGTATGGACGGCCAGGGCACATGGTTTTCAAGTTGTGGACGTGTCTGGAGCGCTGGCGATCCGAAGGCACGCAAG